ACATTGAATAATACTTATAGTTAGAATATTTAGTAGTTGTAATTGCGTGGGGTGGCTGTAATGATTACCAAAATTATATTAAGAACAGTTTGAGCTTTGACGCAACATCAATGATTGTTTTATTAACAAAAGTAAAAAAACTGTTCTCTCAATCAAGCATAACTGTTTTGTTAACGAGGGAGACCTCATCATTAACTAAGTTCTGACGGTTTGAAAACCAAATCGAGTTATAATACAATAAAAAATTATAACAAAAGCTCCATCTGTTAAAATCCAAACAAAAACTTCGTAATGCATTTTTAAATTGCTAAAGAAAATCGTTCACATTCGTTAACAATACTTTGTAACTTGTTAAGCGTTAGTTCATCATAACAAATTACATTTTCATGTAAATGATTTTTATTAAAAAAATATTTTTGTGTGATAGAAGCATATTTAAAAAATATCGTCTTCTTTCCCGTTCATGAAAATAATTTCTTTCTTGCGAACATTTTGTTACATTCTCTGAATACAGAATAAAATCTAGTAGTCGGGTTGACAAGCCGTTTGTTAGCAAAAGCATTTTCCGGTAAATAATTCTACTAAATGCCAACACTGCAGGAGAAACACAATAGATTGTACGTACCTGTCCACTTGGAGGGTTTCCAAACATTGCAGCGTAACAGATTATAAGATAAATATCCTGTATAACATGTGTGATAAGTGGTCAGGAGTAGGTATATAGCTTCTGTAGTTGGTTGTGATGCTGTAAGGTAAAGCAGTATATAAACATTATGTCTTAAAACACCTTTTAGGTACAATCAACAGTAATTTCAGCAAAATACGATTGACTTTTCAATTCAGCTTCTTTCGATTGAGTTCGAAACTAAGAAGGCAAAACATTTTTTGTTATGACTTTAAGTTCAACATTTTAAAGGGAGGATGTAAAAACATTATCAAAAAAATCTGTTGGGATGTGTGTATGTGAAATCAGTCAAACGTTGTTAAACTAAAATACCTTTGCATTAATGATTAATAAAAAAACGTAAGTCAGAAACAAGTAAGGTTTGTCATTTTCTCTAAACCATGTAGGATAATCGAGATTTAGTTTATAAAACTTTTAGCGTGCATTTACATTCTAGTCTAGGAGGCGAATTCTAAAATAATTAAAGGTGGTTGGAGATATTGATAGTGATATGTTTTTTATTTTTATTATTAACTATTTATTATTAACATATTCATTAATTAAAAACTGTGGTTTTTTTGAAACAGTAATTCTTGGGTTCGTTTGATGACCAAGTTGGTCTAAAATAGTATAGAAATCGTATCCAACTAAAAGCGTCTGGGTAAAAATAAATTTAAATATAGTTTGCTTGCATTGCTTAAACCAGTTATGGTCGCATAAGAAAGGGGGTGTAGGCTGTAGAAGGGTTGTATGATTTACGTTATTAAAGTTTGATAATTAATTAGCAGGACGGAATGCTCGGGGCAGAGGGAGATACTGTCTGCAAGCCCATTATAACAGGGATATGGCTGTAGTTTAACAACACGTATAGACCCTAATGTGAATTAAGCTTCACGCATATGTTTGGATGTGTTACGAATGTTTCATTTTATCAAAGCTCACGAAATTAAGTTCTTTACGGCACTACTTTGAGTGTTTTTTTTTTATGATCCAGTAGGTAAGCTATGTATTAGTAAAACATTCACAGTGAATGTTTTTTTGTGTGAGCTTATTGAGTTTTGTTATGCCTCGGACATTTATTTCCACACATCGAAGGTGGGTTAACTTAGTTGTATTCTGTAATAATAATAAAGGTTTGCTGATGTAGCATTTGTACTAGCAAAATAGTGAATTTTTATGATGTTATGCTGTGTTGGCAAAGAAGGTGACTGTCTAAATAACTCAAATAGAATTTTGAATGTGATATATATATATATATATATATATGTTTCATATACAATATTTAGTCACACCTCCTGTACATTTCGTGTTTTTCAATGGGACAGTCTCTTTTATAACCTAACATTTTCATGTGTTACATAGGCCTTGGGCGTGATCTAATCGCATCAAGGAGTGAGCAGGTACAGCAATAGATTGAACTTTACGGATAACATTTACTGGTGGACACCAGCACGGGAACCAACGACATCGCTGCCATGGATTAAATTATGATTCCATCGGTGGACCCTTCGCGCTACCGACTGAGTTACCGACTTGCCGAATGATTTATTTTGCTATTCAACTTTTCAAGATTTGAATGTTTTTTAGTTTGGTTGTATTTAAAATATACAAAATCTATGTAAAAACATAATGTTGATGGATTGTCTATTTAGAATAAAAAAATCTTACCATTCTTTCAAACCTATATTATTGTTACATTTTGAAAACCCTATAAACTGACTTGCTATGTCAGACGTGCGGAAAATAAATTCTTTATTTAAACGATTCATTTTTAAAGATATTATTTTGAAATACTGGGTATCATACAATAATTGCTAATTGAGAGCAGAGTGTTGCAAGAAAGTAAAGAATATTCCATAAGTCTAAGATTAATATCAATACTCAAGCTTAGTTTTTGGAAAACACTATAATCGTATAACAATGCAGGGTGAAAGCTAAATGCTTTTTACTGACCAAGATATAACCTTTGCAATATTGTAAAGGTAGAGCCAGACAAACAACGCCGCTGTATGAGCTTGAAATTGTATAAATTTGCAAACACTAAGTCTCCATTCTCTCTGTGTTTACACGTTTTAGTCCCTTACTAAGTGTGGCTAAAAAGTATTTCTCGTACAAATTTCCATCATTTTGGTGCTCTTATTTTATATATTTACATATGACTAAGTTATACAAATGCAGTATTTGTTAATAAAAAATGTAAAAGTACGATTACTCGGTTACGTAGTAGTGAACATTTTGCTCCTTCTCTCTATTCGAAATCAAAATTCATATAGGTAATTTCAAGGCAGCTGTATATTTAAATACCCCCGCCACAGCAGACCTGCCGACTAAGCGAATTTCCATTTGTCTGAATTGATTTTCAATTAAACTTATTTGAATAACATTAGGTTTAACGAGTACCTAGGTATGCTGCTACAAGGAAACTAATAACGTGTATTTTTTACTAAAATATTAATAGCTTAGTATAAAATAAATAAATTAGCCAAGTTTGATCAAAATATATCCATAATCAAGCAAACTACAACATTTTACAATATTCTCCATAAGAATAACATGGGAATTTTAAATATATAATTTTTTGAATTTTCTCCGTTACCGATAACCGTACAAAAACATTTCAATATACTAAATTATTTGTTTTTTAAGCTCTTTAAAAAGGTCTATAGAGAAATTGAGAAATTTTGTGTTTTGAGGGTCAAAAATGAGAAAAATCAATTTTTACCCCATAAAACCCCCCGTAAAACCCCGTTCCCATGGTCCGATCATGCTGGTTCGCGAACTCATTCAAGTTTATCCCGCCTTACACCTTTAAAAAAAATTTGATCAAAATCGGACAAAAATTACTCAAGTTATCGCGTTCACGGACGTATATATATATATATATATATACATAAATAAAAATTTGAACGAATGGTGTTTTTGGCCTCTGGGGACATCAAAACGAAAAAGTAAATCGGTCCTGGGCTTAGGTCTTACCGTGCCACCTACGGTAATAGCTACTTCCCTATAGGGAAATTCGCTAAAAGAGGGACAGGAGATAATAAAGCGTTTTGCCAAAGATGAGCAGGAAGAGACGATATTGCCGCATTAAGATAACGCTGAAAACCCCTTTAATATTCCTTGTCCTCACTTCCGTACATCTTTTATTCATTAATATTTACCTTTCATTCTTTAAGATGAATTGCCTTTCTTAGTCTAAACAGAGTTAAACTTTTCCCTCTCGGCGATTGTTACACAGCAGTTTCCCCCGATCTTGAAATCTTTACTGTATTTTTATTAATAGACCTACTGTTTGATGTTACAGTTATAAATTGTATATCCATGATAACGGAATATAATATATAATAATCAAACAAGTAAAACCAATTTTAACTTAGATTATTCTTCTAATTGAAAATATTTTTGCTTTCATTTTTTTCAAAGTTCTAGAATATTCGTAAATACCAGGCAAACATAAGCAATTTACATCAATAAAGAAGTCTTCACGAAGGGATTGGAGTGGGTTTGTTGTGAATAGTAGCCTACACTACTAACTTCAAATTTCTTACAAAAACAAAAAGAGTGAAGCGTCCCCAATCAAGAGAACCGTACCATTTTGAGGCCAACTACAAACACCCCTACCGCGGTTGGCTAACTCATATCATTCATAAAAATCATATCTCAAGATAACATCATACAGTTACTATAAATAGTAAATTCTAACTTAAAAATACTCATTTCACAGATTTGTTGGTAATATTTCATATCCACAGGCAGAAAACTTTTATTAATTGTTCAAAGAATACACATGTAACATTATACAATTTTGGGCATATAACACGCATTTAAAAACTCTCAAATTTTTTTATCAAACTAGATATGCATGCAACGTCATTCATTAGGTAGTTCACCATGGCTGGATGTGTGTAAATATTCATTACTACGTTTGAATAGGTTCACCAGCATGAAGTGTGGTCTAGTTCCATAACCATAACTCTGTCGAGTGCGGCGATGATCAAATTATGTTTGTTTATTACTGGACTAGCTGTGTGCCCGTTCTACGCACGGGGATCTTATAGTAGGTAGTCAGTTCTTATATTAAACCTTCTTATATTAAGATTAAGAACAGCAGTTATATCACGTCCTTAAATTATATAATAACAAGATACAAGGAACTGTACAACCCATTTTATTCAACCATTTTAACTGAATGAAAAATATATAAACATAAACATAAACATTAAAAACAATAACATAAACCATGTGTGTTAAGAAATCATATGTTGATGACAACTCCTTATTAATCCTCCCCCTCAAATTTACATGGCCGAATGTGGTTAATGTGCCTTCTCCAAACCTGCCCAATGTCCATCTCGATTTGATAATGCACCAATCCTTCTCTCCTTCTTACGTTTCCAAATTTCCACTTTCCGTCTTTTCCGAAATTGCGCACCTGAACTCTGTCCCCCACCCGAAACTCTCTTTTGATTTTAGTACATCCGTTGGGCATTTCTGTGTGATCTTGGGGTCTCTTCATAAGATCCAGCCTTGTCCTTATTCGTCTCCCAAACATAAGTTCATATGCCGAGGACCCTGTAGCATTTGTGGCATTCCTTAGTGACATTAGGATGTGATTTATTTTGAAGTGCAAATCTCCTCCATCATTTTCCATTGCTATTAACTGTTTCTTTACAGTCTGAACAAATCTCTCTGCTTGTCCGTTGGTTGCAGGGTGATAGGGGGCAGAGAATTTGTGTGTAACGCTACAAGCTTGTAGAAATTGGTTGAAAATAGATGATGTGAAGTTAGGGCCATTGTCAGAGACTAACGTGAACGGGTAACCGAAGGTAGAGAAGAGTTTCCTGAGCTGTTGAATGCACCAATTAGATGTTGTAGTTTTGGTTGGTATGACTTCAACCCACTTTGAATAGGCGTCAACGATAACAAAAAGGTATTGCCCATAAATTGGACCTGCGAAGTCGATGTGTATTCGTTGCCAAGGTCCTGATGGAACCAGCCAAGGATGGACATCTACTTTTTCAAGAAGATTCTGCTTCAAACAGCATGGACGACAAGACTTTGCTAGATCTTCTATGTTACGGTCAATTTGTTTCCAGTAACAAAAACTTCTTGCAAGATTATTCATTTTCACAACTCCTAAGTGTCCTAAATGAAGTTCATTGAGTACTTTTCCTTGTAGTTTTTCAGGAATTACTACTCTGGAACCACGAAAAATGCAGCCATCATGAAGTGAATACTCATTATTCTTCAAGCCAATATGTTCTAAATCCGTGCCATCTTGAAGTGCTTTCAAAAGAGGTTTTAGGTCATTGTCGTTAGATGTTTCATTTGCAATATTTTCATGTGTTACAGGCATTGATTCAATTTGATTAATGAAAAAGGCTTCGTGTTGATCGATTTGATTTGTCGGTGGATGCTCATTAGGAAAGCGAGACATGTAGTCTGCATTACCATGTGATTTGGTGTTCCTATATTCAATAGTATAATCGAAGCCAGAGAGGAAGTGAGCGTAATTGAAAATACGTGTGGCAGTCATAGTAGGTAACGTTCTGTATGGGTCAAAGATTGAAACAAGTGGCTTATGATCTGTTACAAGGATAAACTTTCTGCCATAACAATACTGGTAGAACTTTTTCAATCCCCAGTAAATTGCCAGTGCCTCTTTGTCTATCTGACTGTACTTTTTCTCACTTGCTGTGAGAGATCGAGAAGCGAATGAAATTGGCCGTTCAGTACCATCTTTGTAGCGGTGAGAAAGAACAATTCCTAATCCGACTGGAGAAGCGTCCGTGGCTAGCACTAAGGTTTCATTTTCATCAAAATGAGCAAGGACCCGGTCACTAGCTATCTCAGCCTTAACTTTTTCAACGCATTTATCACATTCTCTGGTCCAAACGAACTTAGTGTGTGCCTTTAATAGATTGTGTAGTGGATTCAAGATTGTGTTCAAATTGGGGATAAATTTCTGGTAGTAATTAGTCAAGCCCATAAATGTTCGTAGCTCTGACACATTTGACGGTTTTAGTGATTTTAAGATTGCTTCCACTTTGTCCTTGTTCTTGTGTAGACCATTTTGATCTATAGTATGTCCAAGGTAATCGATTTGTGTTTGAAAAAACTTACATTTGTCTTTATTTAGTTTGAGGTTGTGTCTCCTGATGACTTTCAAAACACTTTCTAGCCTTGTTAGGGCCTCAGACTCAGTCGAACCTTGAATAATAATATATAATTTGAATATATATAGTTTGAATTTTTTAATGCCAAATTTCATGAAAACCGGTACCTAAATCAAAATTTTGTAAGACACAAAAGTTTTAGTATTTATTATGACAAATCCAACAAAACAAAAATGAATAAAATCGGTTCATAAATAAAGAAGCTGTGTTTATTTTAGTAATTTAGACTGAAATTATTAATACTAAAATGTATTAAATGTAATGTAATAATTTATAAACGTGTTAAGTAATTTCAGTCTAAATTACTAAAATAAACACAGCTTCTTTATTTATGAACCGATTTTATTCATTTTTGTTTTGTTGGATTTGTCATAATAAATACTAAAACTTTTGTGTCTTACAAAATTTTGATTTAGGTACCGGTTTTCATGAAATTTGGCATTAAAAAATTCAAACGGCCGCCATTTTTAAATTTGGAAAGTTAAAATAATAATTTTTTTTATAAATGTTACATACTATAGTGTAAACAATTTTGCCAAGTTTCGTAAAAATATCTCAAAGGGATTTTGAAATAATAAATATTTTCCCCAAAAAACAAAATGGCGGATTACGGCTAAACTAAGCCGAAATCCAAAAAATTTTATTCTTCATTTTTGACTTATTTTTGCATGTAGAATTAGGTCCTGTATAGCCCATCACACTTTTTTGTGACACCCTGTATTTCAGATAATCACGGAATTCATTAAAACTGTATACAGTTTGTTTAAAAAGTCCTGGAACGGTGTAATATAATATTTTACCACTATAAAGTAACGAGACTCGGTGTTTCAATAATAGCCATAAATGTATGTTCTGTAAAGCTATTACAGTATCACTTTTTTACCCTTGAGGGGGGCGGCCCACGAAGAGTCAGAAAAATGCTCCTTAATAGCAGCATAAAAATACGTTTGGTATAAAATGAAAGTTCTTAGTTGGTGGAACACATTGCCGCAAACCCATCCTCAAACGGAAAATTGAGTCAAAAAATTTAGCCGTACAAATATTCATTTCGTTCTGTTTTTACTATTTAAAAAAAAATTTACTCTGTAGTTCTATTGAGTTCAAATTTGCTGTATTGTATGAGAGGTGATAAAAAACTACTGTAATTTTGGCACCTTGCACAAGATAAAATTTTACGCTAAGCACATCACATTTGTGTTTATGATGCCGTTTTGTGATAATGAAGTGATAAGCGAGGCCGGTGTGTTATCAATGGCACTGTTATCACCTCATAGTAGACAACGGCCTCCGCTCATCCGTCCGGTCACATCATGCATGTGATTATCGCCCATCACCTCGCTGTATTATCATAAACACATGGAGTTCGAGTTTTGAGAGAAGTTAAAATGTTAGAAGGAGTATCTTTGCTAATACAAACTAACCATCCTACGCGTAAAGCACAGGATTTCTGGCGAATAGTTATATTTATTTATAATTAATTATGGTATGAATGGATGTGGAGCCCCAAAAATAAACTTCCTTTTTATATAACTTCTCCCTGAGATATGTATTATTTAGTAGTTTATTCACGAGTCTTGAATATAATATTTTTTATCTACACTTAGTTTTCCTTTTGTAACAGAGTGAAAAACATTCAATTACATATTGATTGCAGTTATTTATACATAATTAAATCTTACTAAACCTGTGGCAGTTCTGTTTTGAATTGTTAAATTAAACATGGGGAGTGGTCTGTTTCACGATATTCTTGTATTGTATATACGTCAAACGTGACTGTCAGTTCTATGTTATAAATGTCAAAGACATCAACCGTTTAAAATTGAGAAAAAAATTGGTTAACTTTTAGCATTTACTGTTAAAATGTTCTGCTTTATGTTTTGTAAGATGTTATCATAGTTACAGCTTATAGATTTAAGACACACTATGTATTACAAATAATTTTAAACAAGAATAGAGAAGAAAGAGGAGTTCGGTTTAATGTTACATCAGTAAGGTTCTCAAATAGTTCATATTAATTTTCAAAAAATATTTCACATTATAGCATTGCTGAACAAGAATGTATCAGTCATCATTTAGAACATTCAGTTCAAGAAGTATGGAGCTCAGTTAATGTATTGTTTGACGAGCCGTGCCATCCATGTTACAGCAGTATTAGCAAGACCTACTGTAATTGGTACATCTCTATCTATTCCTCTCAGAGTTATGGCGGAGTACACGCAACATGGACAATGTTCTTTGGTTACATTTGCTACGATGAACTTGACACATACATGTCATTGAGTTGTGGTAATACCATTAAATTACAAACTCTAATAACAGATAGTCTTATTCCATTCCCAACCACGGTATCTTAAAAATGTTTTCCAGCTATAAGTTAAAATTGATTATTGGTCAAGTAGTCTTGGGTTTGTGTGCAATGTTTCATAGTATCTAAGCAGTGTTATTGGGTCATTCTACGCTGGATGCGGTATAGATACCGTCTACTACCTTTTCATACGATTTGTCTGTGCATACAGTGGATGTATTTTATTTATAACAACTATACACTCATAGGAGGTGGACTTGGTTATAGTTAACACGAAATGAAATTCTATAAAAGTTAACAAATAAAAGGCTTTCTTTTTTAGATGAATTAATCTATTAAAATCTTCATTATTTTTACTTAATGTTACTTGTTAACATGACCTCATAATCAAATGTTTTAGATTATTTTATAGAGCAGCATAACGACGTCATTAAATTGTTAAATTCCATTAACGTTTGTTTAAAGTACAAATCCCAAGACATCTCTGTCAAAGTCAGAGCTATTTAAATATTTAATGATTGTGTCGTTGGCACTACCCGCTTTTCATAACAATCAAATTATTTCATCATGAATATTAACATCATGGTAATTAAATCATAAATAATAGAATAGTGTACGGGTTTCGCTTGTAATGGGTTAGGATAGTCTCAACACGTAAATGTATAAATACGCTATGAGCAGATCGTATAAACCATTTGCAAAATGTATTTCATGAAGTTTGTTAACCCTGACATTCAGAACGTTTTACATTTTCGACACTTTCATTACAAACAGGATATTGAAATCCTTTACTGCGGTTGAAAATTTAGTATCTTCTTCACCACGCGCCATAAAGCATACACTTTCACTGTAATCAACTGTAATACGAGGCATTTTACTGCCTGAAAACAAATTGAAAACTCTCTCATGCCAGGTGTTGCTATAACTATGGACATCTCATTCTTTTAAAATATGCCACTGTCCGTTTGTATAATTAAATAATATGACATTAATATCCAATCTTTATTAAACCTTAAGCTATACATAAATGATAATATTAATATCATTACCACACCTTTACCTTTCAATTTTATTATTTTAAAACGTAAGGTTTACTTAAAGGGAATCCCAGTTTCTTAAACAATTATTTATCAACAATATGTTCAATAATGGCCAATTATTAAAATGGCTCTTAATGACCTTTTATTTAGGAAATAAAAATTCAATCAAAATAAAACATAAATTATATTCAACTTACATTTTAAATAATTTTAACAATAGGTTGTTAACAATATGGAATTATTGAAATATATCTATTACAAAATATCAGGATGACAATGTTGGTAGCAGTCTAATGTAAAGGCCGTTTTCAAACTTTTATTTTGTTTAATTTATGTTGTTACCGTTGAAACTCTCATTAAGGTACACACGTTGTTGTTATGAGTTATATTTTACTCTACGACTTCTAATAAACATTTACAAAGGTACAATATTTATTGATACCTAGAAAACAAATTAACCAACATCAAATCCAATAAAAACATTCAGTTAGTCTCTAATGAAGTCCTGTATCCGAGAGCTTAATTAGTACAGTATGTGGAAAAACACATTGGTTTGCAAATGCAGAATTGAATTTACTTGTTTTTTTTTCGATTAAAAATAACT